TTGTATATTCTTCAGGAGATATTTAATTTAATAGAAGTCATTCTATTATTATATAATAGTATAGTTTTGTTAATTATGTAAAAGTTTTAAAAATCTTAATAAAGAATGTGTAATATAGATTCGAAGATCATCGGAATTGAATGTCCCCATACTCCTAAACTTGGAATAGTTTTTATATTATTCCAAATTTGGCAAAATACATAACAATAGAAAACTACAGTTATATAAATTAAATAGTTAAACTAGCTATAAATTGTATTGTATGTTTTATATTGATAAATAATAAGTTGACTCAACAATTGAGTCATGATTTATTGATACACATACATGTGAATTGTCCTGTAAACACATGTAAGCAAAAGAGTAAAAAATCAGTTGATAATTTAAATCAAGAAAAGTCCTGTAAATACATATAAGAAAAAGAACAAAAAATCAGTTGATAATTCAATTCAGGAAAAGATCTTGCTTGTTGTATAAACATATGTACAGCCAACTAAATTTATCTTTAATAAGAACAAATTTTGTGGTTGTGAGACTTAGGGGCGCTGCAAAAAATCAATTAATAATACAAATCAAGAAAAGTTCTTACTTATTACTGTAAATACATGTACCAATTAAATTTATCTTTGATAAGCAATAAGAGTGAAGTTATTTTGACAATTCACGTGTAGACGTATCAATAAATCATGACTCAATTGTTGAGTCAACTTATTATTTATCAATATAAAACATATAAACAAATATAAAAAGTATTCTATTCTTTTTATAATACAATTTATAGCTAGTTTAACTATTTAATTTATATAACTGTAGTTTATATAAATAATATCTTGTAATTTAATTTATAATATAAAAAAATCATAAATTTCTATTGTTATGTATTTTGCCAAATTTGGAATAATATAAAAACTATTCCAAATTTAGGATTATAAAAAATACTCAATTTAGTTTATCGAACATATTATAGGCTAGTTTCATTATAGTATAAATATAAAAAAGTACTTTTTTGTATACTCTAATTTTTGTTTTAGTAATGAAATTTTAGAAAAACTGTTATCAAGATATCAAGATAAATATTATTTGTAATAGGAAGTATACCATACGTGCATTACTTTATCGATATATTTATTTATAACCAGTTTTTAAACGAATCGAGATCAATTAAGTTATAAGCTTATGTGTTATATAAATAATAACTCTAATTCATTTTGTCTGGAATTTTGTTACTTAAAGAAGATTCGCATAAAGTAGAGCCGTACATAGAACTTGATAGACTTATTAATGAGTTAACGCGTGCTGAAGAAAAATATCTGCCTTTAACTGAATATGAAATCCTGTTAAACAAGTATTCGATCAAAGTCATCAGAGTATTTTGCAGTTACAGAAAAATTTTAAGATATTTACCTAACGTCAACTTAGTTTAACCCAAACTATTCTGAATAAGAAAGTCTTAGCAGAAAAAGAAAAAGTAGCAACTACAATTAAGAAATAATATTTTTTATTGAAATGATTTTTGCTTAAGATTAAGAGTTTATTTGTTGTTAATTTTTTTTTTTTTTTTTTAGTCTATGCAAAGAGGTTACAAATCTTAAAAGCGAGCTTATTAAAAATAATAAACAAATCACATCATTAAATAAAAGGTATAAAAAATTACTCAATATATGTGAAGGTTTACTTAAGAATCATACTATTCTTAATAAAGATTATATAGCGTTGCTAGAAAATAATAGTGATTATTATGTAAAACGTTGTCGTTTATTAGAACAAGAAAATAGTGTAAGGTAAGTTTTTTATATTAATATACTGTTCCATATTAAATATATATATCATATGCTAGATTTTTTTTTTTATTAAATATGTAGAATTTAGAATTATTTGAAAAAATCGAGAATTAAACATTAGTTTGAGAGAAGTATATTTCATTTATTTTTATTTATTTTATTCAGATATTCACTTTTTATCTTTTATTAATGTTAAAAGAATTGGGATGAGCTTTTCAGAGTAGTTATGGTGAAGAAAGCTTATTTTAGCTTTTCAGAGTTATTGCAGTAAAGAAAGGCTCTATCTTGATTTTATGTTATAGGGTTTTCCTGAGTTAAGTAAGTATAACTAGAAGTATAATTACACTTCTAGTTAACTATAATAGAAACCCTATATAATAATTAAGATTTGAAGAAGAAAAAGAAGTTTAAACGTATAATTCTTTTAAATTAAACTGGTAAGTTTTTTATATTAATATACTGTTCTATATTAAATATACGTATCATATGCTAGATTTTTTTTTTATTGCCCTTTTTTTGTTATACAGTTGGCCATTGTACTAACAGGTTCACTACTAAGCAATTTTATCAAGTTATTAAGAACTCGCCCAATATTAAATATGTAGAATTTACATCACACTCTTCCCGTAGATCATTTGGTCACAAATTCGAGCTAAGGGTTTCCACTTAGGAAAAACAGTAAACTCAATAG